GGATCTGGAGAGTGCTGATGAATTTTGCATTCAGGTGCTCTTGGGTCAAATGACAAAATGTTTGTTTCTGAATCTTTACATGCAAGTCTAAACAAAGTAGATGCACGATTTGGTTAGATGTCATACAGGATGATCTGTCCGTGTTTGATTACACAAGAATGATTGAACAAAAGTTTGCAAATAAGAAAAAGAGGAAATTTAATCTAAATTACTGACAGCTAAATGCAAACAACAACTGGATGATGGGAAGGAAGTGGTTGAAAATGATAGAGGGTGTTTTAACCTGCCAGAACACATCTTGACTTAGGAAAGTGAATTTAAAATATTCTTCTTTTTTTACTTCCTTATTTTCTGAAATTCCATGATTAAAATTAATATTATACATACATTATATAAAAGATTCCAAAAAGTGGCTTTTCCAGTAATGCAATAGAAGAACTATTTTTGCATTGCCACGAAAAACTTTCAGTAAACAGTTCTTAAAATAACCATATTTTCTTAATGTGATGAACATTTTAATAATCTAATGAACCTTCTTCCACTATAAAGTACTTTTTGTGCAATGGAAAGGTTCCATGAATGTTGAACGTGGAACCATGAATGCCAATGAAGAACCTTTATTTTTAAGAGTGTAGTCTGTGGCGTCTCTGGTTAGACTGATACAGTAGTTTGTGTTTTTTTCTTTCCTTCTTTTTTTTTTTGGATTTACGTATTCCTTTTTGATCATGATGCATAATGGTAGACCAGTCCTGACTGGTATTAAGGGACGGAAAGGGGGTGGAGTCCCAGTCTGCATCTGGTGTCTGTAAGTAAGAGGCTGATAAGTGGCTCAGCTCTGCTTCCCGGCTCTCGTGACACGCTTGTGTCTGCATTTGGCTCGTCCCCGTCTCTTAATGACGGTATCCCGAAGCCTGACACCCCAAACCTACCATTCCATCTGCCTGCTTAGCATTTCCCCTCAATACATAATTAGCAGCACTATTTCAGTCACAGGGATTCCCAACTGTGACTGTTCCTCTATTGCGCTCCATAGTTCTCTTTCCTTGTTAACTAGGGCATGATTAGATGATTTGTCACTGAGATCTTTCAGTTGTTCCAGCTCCATCCATATTAAGCATTTAAGTGACATTTTAAGGACTGGTTTTAACACCGATGTGAGTCTTCTTTAACAGCTCACATAAAAAGAAGTGTCGGCTCGTTAGGCTGTGATTGGAAATACTGTGTTTTGGGAGAGGCTTTATAATGCATGATTTCTGTGAATATTGTCACTCACATGCTAGAAGGTGACTGTCACTCAGTCAGGAATAACACTATTATGGTGTTGTATGTAAAGTGTTGTAATGTGAGCCGAGGGCAAGCGGTGTCTGTTGAACTGTAGGAGTATTTAGTTTCAAATAACGACCTTTATGAACTACACTATGCTGTCTTACCTCCTCACATATTATGTTTTATAGATGTTAATTAGGAACTGCAGTGCTGTGTAGGACTGTAACCATCATAGATAAGATTTATTTGTATAGCAATTACATACATAGGGGTAATTCAAAGGGCTTTACATAACCATGATAAGAAGAGAAATTACGAATTATTTCTATGTGTGGTCTTATTTTGGGGGCCTTAACTACTATGTATTTACATTTAAATTAATAATTTGATACAATGCATTTATTGGGTACATACATGTTTTTACATTGTAATTACATTTTAAAAGTGTATGTAATTACATCTGTAAATAATTTCTGTAATTACATCTGTAATTAATTTCTGTAATTACATTTATAATTACACTGTTGACCCATCCCTTACACCTTAACCCACCCTTAAACCAACCCATACCACCAACCCTGTCCCTAACCGAACCCGTATCCCACCTCAATAGCAGCAAAAGTGTTTTGCAATACAATATGAACACAATCAGTGCATTGTACATATTTTTTAAATGTAATTACATAGTAGTTATGTCCACCTAATATAAAGTGGGACCCTATGTACTATTAAATAATAATAATAATAATAATAATCAACACTGAGGGGGCCCTGTGCTCCAATATTATTATATTAAAAATATTTTGGAAAGTGGTTCATCAAATTATTACTTTTACATTTAATTCTTCCATCATCATCATCACTACTACTACTACTACTACTAATCTTTTATGTATTTATTTTTCTCTTAGTTAATATTCATTTACTTGTTTATTAATTATTAATATAATTAAATGTATTTTAATTTATGAATTTAATTTAATTTAATTATACACACTGAAAAAATGTAGGATAGTGTTCGATCATTATGTTTCCCAAAGTTCTTAAACTTTTACATTTAGTCCCCCAAACACTGAATATAGTTACTTTGTTGTTCGTAAGTCTTTAATATCAAAAACTAAACTCTTACTCTACTTCTAAAGACCACAGTTTGAAATAGCTTTTAAATTTATAACATTCCCTGTCAACGTTTTTTTTTTCCCCCTTTGGTTTTATTTTTCTTCATTTAGTATGAAAGCTTTTAACTAGTTCAGATCATTTAAGCTTGGAAAGTGGCGTTGTTGAAAGCTGAAATTCAAGCTTAAGTAACTACTACAACTGAAACTAAAGGTTAGCAAGAAATCTTGTGATTTCCTCCCAGTCTTTGTAATGATTATCAAGGACAGTGCTGTCTACCTCGCTCTCTCTCTCTCTCTCTCTTTGCTTCTCTTACTATGTGAGCGTGAGGGGAGGAGCAGTGATTAAGAGGGAGGCTTTACTACACCAGTGTGTCAGATACACATTCAGTCACAGCAGCAGACAGAGCATGAGTGTGAGCGCTGTACTACCGATCCCACATCCAGACCTATAAACAGCTGATTCTAGCAGTCTCAAAGCTGGATCTACTGACAATTCTCAAGGACTCTGATTTCCATTGGGATTTCTTTTTTCCTTTGAGGAACGAGTTGGAAACCTGTGTCTGAAAGAGAGTAAGTAGCCTACTCAACTCTTCTTGCTTCAGTGCCTTTATCTGGTTGCTGTTAATGATTGATTGGTGCCTGCGGGATTGTTTGGTTAGTGTGCAAATGAAAGGGTTTTATAGCACTACACTCCTGTTAGATGCTCCAGGCGAGTGGCGTGGCTGCACGGGGGTTTGTTATTGCAAGGGGCTGCTGGGACGGGAGGGATGGAGGGGGAGGGTGTGTGCTGACACAAGACAATCCCTTTACAGTAAGACCTTATCTGCAAGGTGATAGCCGGTCGTAGCTGATCACAGGACAGCGAGCTCAGTCTGCTTCTGTTTGTATACGTGCCTCAAGTGCCTCAAGTTTGTTTGGGTTTGGTTTCAAACGATCAGTTTTGCAGGGTGTGTTGCAGTTTGGGTTGGCCGGTGTGTATGAGCTCTTTGGCAGTTTGACTTGGAGAAGCTTAAAGCTCTGTCTCTTGAGCTGTGGAGTTTAGTGTCTTTGCGCACACTCTCTGCCAGAAGACGGGAGCATATGTGGCAGGCAGCGTTGTCGGCGTGGAGGAACTTTCCATGAACTCTGGATGGGGCTTTGCAAGTGAAGGGAAAATTTGGAAAGTGAGAAGTGTGAGGTTCTCCATTAGAAGGTCATGTGGTTTTGGCATCTTTGGAGATCTGTGATTGGGTCAAGGGCATGAGTGAACACTGCAGGTGATTGTTGGAAACACAGACTTCTTGCTTGTTTTGCACTGGTAGTCATCCATAGATTAGTGACTATTAATGCATTACAAATCAAAGCCTCCCACAGAAGTAAATATGAAACCATTTCAGTGAAATATGATATTTTTTTACATATGTGGGTTGGTTTTCTCAGTAAATGGGATTTAGGATGGAATGTTAATTTGAATTACATGAGAAAACTACATGGTGCTTTACGTGGTGAATTAAAAAATAAATATTTTGTCATCATTTACTTATCATCATGTTGTGCATGACCCTGCATGACTTTCTTTCTTCTGTGGAACACAAGATATTTAGAAAAATGTCTCAGCATTTTTGGCAAAACAACTGTTCATGTTATTTTGGACCCCACTGGCTTTCATTCTAAGGACAAAAATGGTTAAAACATTCTTCAAAATATCTTCTTTTGTGTTCCACAGAAGGAAGAAAACTCACTTCTGTTTTAGAAAAAGTTTGGTTTGTTCTTTAATATAAAGACCCCAGCATTGGTAGTGAGATCATCATGGATGACCATATTTGCACATTATGTGAGTATGTGCAATCAGTGCAAATCTGCACATTAAGTTCATGTCCAATGAGAGATTTTCTTTTCTTTTTAGCCAGCAGCTTGTTGGACAGCTGCTCATGGGAGATAACCACTCCAGTCTAAGAACTGTAGAGAACGGTAACAAACACAGCAATTTTAGCCATCTTCAAAGAGCTGCACGTTCATGCCGTTTACACTGTAGACCTACTTCTCTGTGAAGACTTTGAGGGAATGGTATTTTTTGGAACAGTTTGGTGCATGACAGAAGAGGTATAGAGGTGGAAAAGATGACATGAAAGAAGAGCATCAGGGAGAGTTGGAATGATTGTACTGTTAGCCTTTCTCCTGTGTTTTTCTTTGGTCTGATCCATAAAGACAGCAGCTGGCAGTAGAATTCTGGCTACAGGAGCCTTGACAATGGTCGGCCTGTGTGAGGCTGTCAGAAACTGTTTGGCTAGTTGGTAAAAACCGGTGCCTGTTATATCAATAGTGCACAGCCTGACTACAGCTCCTGTCACACACAATACAACACAATAAACTATTAGACAAGAGAGTTTAAAAGTCAGAAAGTGCATTTGAATGGACAGTTGGACAAGCTGCTTGGCCCTTCTGAAACAGTTAGACGTTTTAAAAAAACTGACATTTTTAAGTTGGTTAGCTGATATTTGGTCTCCCAGACTGTAAAACCTGTTGGCTGCTCAGCTAGCCAAACACCAGCTTGGCCAGACTGGGAGAACATCTTAATAAAGCTAAGACCACCAAACCAGCAAGCTGGTATACATATTTTTTTACCCCTTCTTTTTAAGCATTGAGTATGCTGGTTTGCTGGGTTTTGTTGCCTTAAAAGAACATCTTAAACCAGCCTACACAGGTTTTGTGGTTTGCTGGTCTCCCAGGCTAATTTTAGAGGGTTTTTTAAGACTTTTCAGCCGGTCAGTTTGTAAGATCAGTTGGCTGCTCAGCTAAACTCCTGCTTGGCCAGACTTGAAGACCAACTTAAAGCATCTCAAACCACCATAAGCTGGTTTTCCGGTCTTAGTTGGCCTCTCAGACTGCTTTTTGCATTGTTTTGGGCACTTTTCAGATGCTAAATCTGGGTTATCAGATTAAGACCAGCTTGAACATGTTGGAAGACCATCTTAAACCAGCTAAGACCATCTTAGTCAGGTTGGGAGACAATTTTAAACAAGCTACCACCAGCTTGGAAAGAATAAGAATAAGACACACACAAAAAAGAACCTGCTGACTTTGTAGCAGCAGTCTGTTACATATTAGGTCAAGAGTAAAAGCAGGACAGACACAGGCTGTATCTCTTTGTAGTATCTTTACCGAATATAAAGCTCTCCATTCTCAGGTCTCTACGCACCACCTGTTTCTCATCCCAGTCATCAGATCCCAGGGCTATTTTTCCAGCTTTAGCTTTGATTTCTCATGCTTGGCTGGCTACTATATACCTGCCTCTGCATGTGTGTGTTAGTAAGAGATTCTTCAACTTGGATGGATTAAAGAACTGGGTCAGTTATATGCTCTGGTCGTAGAATCGAGGAATGTAAATAAGTACTAGTCTTATTTGCTCCTAGATTCTTCTGGCAGGAGCTCAAACTCTGCCAAGTGTTGCGACACTGTTGAGGCACAAACAGTATAACACACAAACACAATCCCTTTTTCCATGTCATTAACTTCTGACAGTTATAGGTCTATGTGACGCTCCTTAACAATCTCCTCCCAAATAAACATCTTGTATACTTGAAGTGATTTTTTTCTGTAATACTTTGTGTTTCATATCATTAAAACTGAAAAATTATGCTAAGAATGCTGGGAATGCCTTATTAGAGGTGTATAAATAATAAATTAGTTGGTTTGCTGGTCTTAGTTGGCCTTCCAGAGTGGGACTGTTATTGCACCACCCTTGCTGGAAAAATTAACCATCTTCAGCTGGTTTGTTGTAGCTGGTTTCTCAGCTTGGTCACAGTAGTCTTTTGGCTGGTTTTAGAAAGTTTTTTTTTTTCATCTCCCAGCTAAACACCAGCCTGGACAGGCTGAGAGACCATCTTTAACAAGATAAGACCAGCTTATCATTCTGGTCTGTTGGATGGTTTTAGTTGGGTTTTGGGCACTTTTCAGCTGTAAGACCAGTTGGCTGCTCAGCTAAACTAACTACTAACTAAACACCAGTTTAGCCAGACTGAAAGACCATCCTAAACCAGCTAAGACCAACAAACAAGTTTAGGCTAGTTTGGACATTTTTTTAAACATTGAGAGCTTTGTGATTATGCTATCTCTACTAAACCCTTAAACCAGCCTAAGATTAAAAATTATCTTAAACCAGCCGATACTGGTTTTGTTGTTCTTCGCTGGTCTCCCAGGCTGGTTTTAGAGGGGTTTTGGACACTATTCAGCTGGTCAGTCTGTAAGAACAGTTTGCTGCTCAGCTAAATTAGCTAAACACCAGCTGAGCCAGACTAGAAATTATCTTAATCCAGCTAAAACCAAAAAAACAGGCTTAGGCTGATATAGGCATGTTTTTTTTTCTTTCCCTTTTAAGCATTGAGAGCTTATGTTATCTCCGCTAAACCCTTAAACCAGCCTATGATGGTTTTCTGGTCTTAGTTGTCTTAAAATATCTTAAACCACCTAACAGTGGTTTTGCTGGTCTGAGTTTGCTTGGTCTCCAAAGTTTGTTGTAGGAAAACACACACACACACACCTTAGACCAGTCTGGTCTTAGCTGGCCTCCCAGACTGTCTTTTGAGTGGTTTTGGGGATTTTTCAGCTAGTCAGGCTGGGAATCCAGTTGGTCATCCAGCTAAACTTGTCAAACACCAGTTGGCCAAGCTAGGAGATCATCTAAAACCAGTTTAGACTGGCTTAAACTTTCTTTCATAGGGGATAACTTGCATTAACCACTAAAATAACTAATAAACGGATGATGTGTGGTTGACAGACAGTGGGAACGTGAGTCGGAAGCTCTGACAGGGTTCATGTAGTTGAATCTTGTAAAGTAAGCAGTACCGGAGGCCTGGCGGGGAGAGCAGCCACTGTGTTTTTGCTCACTGCTGGGAAGTCTTTAAACATGCGTCTTTAAGGGACGTCACAGGCGTCCCCTCTGGTTTTCCTAGTCATGCTCTCTCTCTCTATCCCAGGGGCCTTACGTGGGAACTGGCTCCAGAGCTGGAAACATACCAGAAGTTAGTATTTTCCTGCTTGTCCTTCTGACCCTGATGAGAGAGAGCAAGTTATAAAGAAACAGAAAGAAATCCCGTCAGCAGAGGGGGCTTTTTGGGATGACACAATATGTGATTTTGTAGCTTACAAACTTTTGGAGTTTTAATGGTCATTCATAGGGGCAAGTATGTCTGTTTTCTTAGTGCGCTGCCTGTCGCTGTCACACACACACACACACTTTGACACCTTCTGTCTCACACCTGTTCCTACTGCGTGTCTGCGTTTCATGTATTATGCAGGTCTATTTTAAACAGACCAGGACACTGAAGCGTGTCCGTGACTCTTACACCAATGAGAATGTGGCATGTGTATGTGTGCGTCTGAATCACATGTGTATTAGTTTGCATGTGTAGTTAAAATGGCATTCATTAGTTACCCCAGTTGATTAATGGACTTTAACCTAGTTGTAACTGCACTATGGACACTGACATACACAGACGGCCTGTGATCTGATATCTTCTCAGAGCATTCCAGATCATGGCCTTTACTCTACTAATGGCTTCTCTGAGCCTCTCAAGCATACCTCACCCTGA